GAATTTAGAGGTCCACCTGCCTCTGCCTCCCAAGTGCTGGGATTGAAGGTGTATGCCACCACCACCTAGCTTTTTTTAGTTTTTTTTAATGTTTCTTCAGATTGACATGTCACAAAATTTTGTCTTAAAAGAAGCCCATTGTACACTGATTAAGAAGATTGGAGTAGAAAGCAATGATATCATGAGAATAGACAAGGAGGGGGTTGAGAAGGGCCGGGAAGAGTTCTGACAACAGAAATGGGGGCTTCTTTGATAGGCATGGAGGAAAGGCAAGGCCCACTCCATGTTTGGATGTCACTTGCTCTCCCTGGTTCACTACTTCCCACATCTCTCTACCACTCCCCAAGCGAGTAGGTGAGGGACACCACAACAGAAAGGGCTGAGCCAGTCATGCCTTTACAAGGTAGAGTGGTCATCTTGTCCTAGTGTAGCCGTGGACTTGGGAGGTGATGATGACAGTTAGAAAGGAGCCAGAGGAGCTGGTCAGAAGACTAGGTCCCCACTTCTGCCCCAAAGACTCCCACCCCTCCCCCACCACAGTGAGCCAAAGGCCCTCTGTTTGGGAGAAGCCTCTGTCACCCACCAATTATATAAATAAATAGATACAGAGTGCCTTTTATGTAATTGGTTGGGGGAAGGGCAACAGGCCTAGAGGAAAGGAGAGAACGAAAGAGAGTTGATCATAGACAAAATAGATTTCTTTTTAATTATATTTTTAGAATTCATCTCTGAACATGTGACCTTAAGTGACCAAATTTATTTGGTACGTTTGGAACAAATGACAGTTTTTGTTTAAGGCAGAGTCTTATATAGCCCAGCTGTCCTCACCTCTGATCCTCTTGTTTTCACCTCTTCAGTGTTGAGATTACTGGTGGTTGCTACTATGTCCTGCTCATAAGGTGCTGGCAGTTGGATCTGGAGCTTTTTGTATCCTAGATAAACACTCTATTAACTGAGCTATTCCCTATTTTTATTTGTATTAATTTATCCTTCAACATTTCTATTTTCTTTTAGAAAAACTTCCCAAACTTTTGTTAGTAAAATATGTCCTATATTAAAAATTGTATATAGTGACTGTATATGAAATATGTCTGTAAGCAGCAGGCTATATGTCAAAGAAGTTTTCTCATTTTTAATTTTTGTTTGTTACTCATTTTTGTGGTACTGGGCATTGGTTGTATCTGGGGCCTGGCAAGCACTCTACTACTCCCTTGCCAATTAGTTATATTCACAGTCCATGTTTATTTAATTGTTTATGATGTAGGGACTTGCTGTGTACACAGGCTCTTTTCAAAGTTATGTTTCTTCTGCTTCAGCTTCTTGAGTGCTGGAATTACATATGTGTACCACCCCTTCCTGGCTCCCCCCCCCCCCCCCCAGGGTTTCTCTCTAGCTTTGGAGCCTGTCCCGGAACTAGCTCTTGTAGACCAGGCTGACCTCGAAACTCAGAGAGATCTGCTTGCCTCTGCCTCCTGAGTGTGCACCACCACAACCTGGCTTTTTTTTGGTCTTTATTACTCTTGATTGAGTTTTGAGTTAGCTAAGTCTTCTGATAGTTTTTTGTTTCGTTTTCTTTTTCTCTGAATCAAAATATCACTATTGCTGAAGAGAATGACCTCATACTGGGGACTGGAGGGAGGAAGAAAGAAAAGATAAGGAAGCATAGCAAATATGGGCTAATGTCATTCCTAAAAGTGTGCATGTTTCACAGTATATTAGAAATGAACTTCACCTCATTGGAGTTTAGTGTAGTATATTAAAAAGTTTTAAATCATGCAGAATAGTTGGCTTATTAAAAGACATTGAATGTGAAGTCTTGGGGATATAGTCATTATAGTACTTGCTTTTCCTATAGTTCATGGCTTAGTGGGAAGAGCTTTTTTAGACACATGGAGAGAGGGGGTGGCAGTGGCACTGTATTGGTATGCTGAGGGGTGGGAGTACTGTATGGTATGTCAGGTGGTGATAAATGCCACAAAAAAACATTTAAATTGGTATGGAATAAGGTGTTAGATTGCTTTATTAGGTGCCTAAAGCAAAATGTAAAGACTAACTTCTGTATCCTGATGTTGTTCAGCAAATCCTTAACCAGCTGTAAATAAATTGCCACAAAGTTGTCAGTGTGAGAAGTAACTCGGCTGCAGATCAGCACAGTTCTATTTGGAGTATGCCCATGTGGATTTCTATTTGCAGCTCATGTCTGAAATATTGTTTGGTACTTAATATAGATAACACAGATCCCCAGAATGCCACACAGACGCTTTACCATTCCTCATGTAGCCCTTAGTTTAAGGCAGTCCAAGTCAAACTTCATCTAACTGTTTTGATGTACTCCTGCAGCAGACAGGCAGAAAGTTTCCTAGATACCTCTGCTGCTCCGATTCCCATCATTATGCTCTTTTCAAAATGACATCTCAGATAAAGATGTTAGTCCTCATGCGTGCTTTAGCCTGAACACTGTGAGGTGCTGAGAGATTTAACTGTGACAGAGTGAACATAACAAAAGACCCATGTTCCCTTGCAGGGAGCAATACTGTCTTAGAATGAATACTGTCTGTGGAACATTTTTAGTAGTGATTATACTTCGAAAACTTTCTCAACTGGGTTTGGTGACTCATGTCTGTGGGGAGGTTGAGACAGAAGGGGATTGCTGGGAGTTTGAGCTTAGCCAGGGTTTCAGATTGAATTAAGTATTGTAGTTTTGTCCTTCCTTCCTTCCTTCCTTCCTTCCTTCCTTCCTTCCTTCCTTCC